TTCAATCGACTATAAATTAAGGACTCAATATTATAATATAGTTGTGTACAGTTTATTTTAAAACTTTAAAACAAAGAAACTCTATAATGTCCCTGAGAATATTTTCCAACTACATATGTACTTACATATGTAAATAATTTGAGAGTTTATTTGGAAGCTTGTATTAAAATTTTTATAACCATAACTAAATTATTTTTAAATAGTGAATTATTTAAAATTTCGTATTGGATTTTTTGCCTATTCTAAAATTTTCTACAACAAATTTTGAATCATTTAGAACTTGTGCCATTTTTCTATAAATTTTGCCAAAAAATTCTCGTTAAGTTTTACTATGTAATTGAGAACAAAAAAATTAACGTACCTACATAGTCTTAATTAAGTTGCTACAAACTGTGTTATGAAATATTTAGTAGAAATGGCTTCGAACATTGTTTTGTGTCCAAAGAGCATAAAAGGTAGCATAAAATCAACACTGAAAAAAAATAACAACAACAACGTTTTAGAAGTAAAACACTAACAGAAACTACAAGAAAAAGCAATGAAAAGTAAAAATGAACGCGGATTGTGACTTTTTTTTATTTTCATTTCTTATTTTTTTTTTTTATTTTTCTTTTTACTAAAACAAATCAACGTAAGCACATTTTTTTACAAATAGAAAACCAAAAAAAGAAAAAAATAAATTTAAAAGTAACTAAATAAATTTTTTTTCCAACTTTTCAACTGCTAGATTGTAAATGTATAAATGGATGTGGAGAGTAAACACTCGTAGCAACTATAAAATGATAAAAAGGTAACTTATACACAGGGGTTAAGAAAATGAAAAATAAACTAGCTAACGATACTTTTTTTTTTTATTACAAAAAAGAAGAAAAAACAAAATCAGTTATATTCAGTTATAGATAGGCATTGCATTGCATAGCATATCGCCGCTTGGTGGCCGTTGTCGTGAATAATTTTCTAATAATTGTTTTATTCTTTTTCTTTTCGAATGTGTAGTAGAATTTTTTTCTAAATCGAGAGTGCTGAATTAAAAGTATTTCAATTTTAAATGTTTGTAAAGCAATACACAACCATAATATGCAAGTGTGTTATATATGTATGTACATATAAGTGTTAATATTAAAAATGTTGACTGTGCCTAATATACAAATAAGTGTGTATGTAGATATAACTATATACATAGAAATTTTTTTTTAGATGCAATGGATTGCATTCAGTTTTAGTTAAATTACCTTATATGAATGTTTTTAAAGAAATTGTTTTACTTCGTTTTATTTGATATTCACATATACATACATATGTATGTATGTTATATAATTCTGCGAATGTAATATATTATAAAGTGTTCCGTTTTTGATATTCGAATATGAAGACTTTGTTATTCTCCAAAACAAAATAGTGGAATATTGTTTGGTACAAATACAGAAAATTATTTCATTGAGACATTGGTCTTCGAATTACTTATATTCCCGAATTAGGGTAGCTATACCTATATAAAGAGGATTTTTTTAAACTTCAGCTACAAAAAATGAGAAGCAAGTTGTTATAAAAAACAATGAAACTATGAAATAGCACGGTAATTTTTTTTGTTTGGTAGACTCCAGGGAATGTTTTATTCTTAAGTTTATAAAAATGCTGTATGGTATAGGGATTTTTTGTTTTCCTGTGACGGCAACACTAATATTGTTTGACAATACAGTTAAAATAAAAATAATATTGATCGTAAAAGCAATGTTATTGACATAAAATTTTAAATAATTATATTTCGGGTGCACTCCGTACAAATAAAACGAAAAAGAAAACAAAAAATTGAAAAAGTACACCATGAAAATAATACAAAGTTCAATCTGCATAAATAGGTTTTTGTACCTAAAGTTCTAAAATATTTAAAAAGCACATATTCGTATATTGAAATGGCTTGTATACATTATGCATGGTTTATACTTAAAGATGCAGATTTATAAAGAGATAACTTTTAATAGATATTTAACGCATTTGCACCATTTCATACTATGCTATTTTCATACATCCTATGTAGGTATGTATGTATGTATTACTATATTATGTATGACTGTAAAAAATCAATTTTAAACCAAAAAGTCAACCACTTTCATTGTTTTTGTTTATCTTTTTTTTTTTTTTGGTGCTTTAATGTGCTTCACTGTTTTATTTTTAATTTAAAAAAAAAATACTATGTATTTTACTATATCCAGTTATTATATTGCGTATGTGTTGGTATGTATACGAAATTTTATTTGAATGTAGCAACAGAATTTTACACCAAGTTTTACGTTTTCAAATTGTTTCAATACTAAATACTTATGTAATTAAATATGAAAATTGGGCCACTATATACCTACATATATTACGTTTAATTAAAATAGACCTACAAAGATAATACTATAGTGAATAAGAAAATTTTGGCGAAATATGATGCTGTTGTTTCCGGTTTTCTCATTTTTGTCTTGACATTCAAAGAATGCTAGTAAATTTTAGATGAGTTAGAAATCTGAAATAAAAGATTTTTCGATAAAACTATTTGATAAAAGGTCCAAGGTCTTTTTGATCATAATTATTGTAGATCGTCATATGAACATGTGTTGTACCAATTAAGAGATCTCGAAGAAGTTAATAACTTTTGCTTGATGATATTTGCTGGTAATCGGTTATGCCAAAGTTCAATTATTATCAAAATTATTAAATTTAACATAGAAATTATTAAGGTACTTTATAAATATTTTGTACTAATTTGATCTAATTAGAATTAATAAGATCAAAGACTAGAAAACTATGTTCAATAAAAATTGTTTTAATTTTCAAGGTATTATTTTGAGTTACGTAAACGTTATCTTGCAACGTTACAGTTTTACACTTTTTCTATTTTGTAGAAATGTACTAAATGTAGCAAATATACCAAATGTGTATTTATTTAATGTCAACGTAACGTAGCGTAATGCTATCAATCTGCTCAAACCTTAAAAAAAAAAAACAAAAAAATAAAATAAAAATTAATTTTCGTTCGGTATTTTTTTTTTTGTTCCGTGAACCAAAACGAATGTGATTTTTGTTTCTTTTTTTTAATTTTATTACAAAATGTGCTATGCCGCTATATTATGCCTCTATACTATACTATACACCGTGTTGTAGAGGTAAAAAATACATAATAAAGAAGAAAAAGAAAAAGAGTAAAATATAAAAAAAAGTGAGGATTAAGACGATCGGAATTTCTGGAATGTAGTTTTGCTTGTTGTTGTTGTTGTTTTTTTTTATTTCTTACATTTGTAAAATTTTTTTTTATTTTTAAAAATACATTCATTTTTGTATTCTTATTTACATTGGATTTGTTTTTTTCTTTATTTATTTATTTGCCTCGATCTTTTTTAGAAAATTTCATTAGTTTTTTTATTGGTTTATTATTTTTTTTGTTTCTCTTTAATTTTCTCGTTTTTTTATTTTTGTAATTTTCTATTTTAAGATTTTTATTTTTTTATGTTTTAAATTTCTGCAAGATCAGTGCATTTTCAACATTTATTCATAATTGTACACCCACCTTTCGTAGTCCGGAATTTTGATTTTGTTTTTTTCTTAAAGTGAAATAAAAAATAGGTGTTATGTATTAAAAAAAAAAGAGAGAAAAAATACAAAAAAAAAAGTAAAAATTAAAAGTGAATTATTGAAAATTATTAAAGTTTTTTTTTTTTCTTTTTGGAAATAAAGAGCAATAAAAATTGCATGTAGAATTCAAAAATTTTATAAATTACAAAAAAAAATAATATTAATTGAGTTTTAGGTGTGGAGAAAAATAATTATTTTAAATTTTAAAGGAAAAAAAATAAATTATTTTTTTTAATCTTTTAATTTGATTGATCTATAATAATTGGAGTGTGAACAAGAGAAAAATTAAATTAAATAAAAAAAATATTAATATAAAAATAAAATTTTAACAAAATATTTTTTAGAATTTGGGCAAAAATAATTATTTTAAGATAACAGTAAATCACGAAAAAAACAAAAACAAAAAAAAAGTTATTTAATTTATTCAAGCAGCTGCACATCAACATGAAATAATTTTGTATATCTGTATACACACGCACATGCATATTTAAAAATTTTAAATTACATTATAAAATTTAACCTAAAATTAAAAAAGTGAATAAAATAAACAAATTCTTTCTATAAAAACAAAAAAACAACATCACGAAATTTTTTTATATCCCTAAATAGTAGGGATTAGAAAATTCCCCACTTCTTATTTAATATGCATATACATATGAATATTAAATTAATTGTATGTATGTATATAAGTATGCATTTCATACAAATTTTCAGTAAAATACTCGTACGAACACTATACAAAATTTTTTATTTAAAAAAATATATGTAATTATAAAAACGACCTATACATACCCATACGTACATATTACGCATATGGTAATGATTATGGTACAAGTAAAACAAGTGCATCATTTCTAGTGTGTTATTATAATGATGTGCTGCTGCCTATTATTGGTTTTCTATTAATTTCCTATATTTTAATTTTTAATACAATATTCAACTTGTTTTTTTCACCTAGGATATAATGTGCACATTTTAATTTTTAACAGTATCAAAAGAAACCAAAAAAAAAAAGAAAAATTGCAATAAAAAGGGGAAAAGTGAAAAATCAGAAAAATAATAATAAATAAAACCAAACCACTTTTGCACTAACGTCACCAACTTGCCATTTTACCATAACATTTTTTCCCCTTTTTTTTGTTGTTTTTAAATACCTTATATCTTATGTCTTTCAATTTTGTTTTCGGTTTTAGTTTCCGTTCCTTCACCTTATAGTAAAAAATAATAATAATAATAATAATAATAATAATAATAAAAGAATAACTATAATAGTATAGTGTATAATAATAAAAGTTAATAAAAAAAAAAAAGGAAAAATACAATAATAAAAAATTTCAAACGAGATTTTTTTATTCAACTTACATACTCATTTTAAAAATATACTTACATACATGTGTGTTGATATTTTACCTATTTGGTGCATAATAATAACAATAATAACCTGCTTTAAAAGTATAATAATAATATAACAAATTTCAAATAGTGATCCCAATACGACCGCTACATACAAACATTGTGTGTTTTTATACGACGACGAATATACAACAATAATAACATATTATATTTTTCTTTCATTCAACTTTGGAAAATCTTTTATAATAATAGTTACAATATTTCTCAATAGTTGAAAAAGAAGCAGAGCCAAAATACGAAAGTAGAGAGTAGTAGAGTAATAACAACAACAAAATAAAATTTCAGCTATATAAAAAGGCTTATTAAAAAATGGGTAAATTTTTTTATTGAAAAATAATATTAGTTATAAGTTACACGTATATATATATATACTAATTACATATACATATAAGTATATTTATTATTATTATTACTTATACGTTATACTTTTACGTTATACTTATATTAAATTATTATCACATTAATTTAGATTGAATATTACATGTACTCATGTTTATGCAAACATGCGAATAATAAATACGTATAATAAATATGAGTAAACAGTTGATACTCGATTATATTAACTGAGAAATAGAAAATTTAAGTTTTTTGATTGAATCGTACTAAAACAATACTAAGTATTACTTATGTCACTGTCGAACAATTTTCATTTGTATTGTTTTAGGCGAACATTTGTTAAAATTTTGGCTCGATGTACAGTTCTCCCCGGTTAAATGCACCACGCTTAATTGATTTTCCCCTTTTATTGAACGAAAAACTAAGGCAACTTTAAATCCCTATTAAAATATACATGAATAACATCGTTTAATTGAGTCCCGTTTAATTGAACAACTCGCTTAAATGAATCTCTTTTTTTGGTATTACCTTATAAAAACTGTGAAAAATTCCCCTGTTTATTGACCTGATAACGGCATAAACATTGTACGGAAATTTTTTATCCCACAAAATAAATTTATTGAAAACTTAGATGAAATGGAAACCTTTATTATTAAGAATCATTACAAACATAACCAAACGAAAATTACAATTTTTTTTAAATAGGTTTAATTTTTTATTATTCTATTTGTTGTTGTTAAACTAGCAATAGTAAATTTATTGAAAAATTAGATATAACGTATGAAATATTTTTTCTTTGTAATATGAAATATTTATTTTTAATTTTTGTTATGTTATGTGATATAAAAATATTATGATTTAAATATTTTGAATTTGAATTCATAGTTACATTACTTAGATGGATTTAAAATAAAGAAAAATTTAAGTTTTTAAATTTTGAAATAAAAAAAAATTTGAGTTTTAGTATTTCATTAGTGTATCCCCTATTTTAAATATAGCTTTTTACCTAGGATATTTTGATAAGTATATGTAATAGGATATGCTTCCTATTGTTTTTATTAATTTTATGCAGTAGCAGGATCAAATTCGTTTTTGCGCCTGATCTTCAATAGCGAGTATTCGTTTTCATGCGTAAACGATTCAGTTAAAAAAATTCGTTTTATTGCACCAATTGTTCAATTAAACGGGATTTTTTTAATTGATTTACCCGCTTAATTGATACAAAAAGTGTGCAACTTTTCTCGGTTCAATTAACCGGGGAGAACTGTACCTTTATATAAATTTCATAAAAAATTTGATATAGTAGTACTCCTATTATTTTAAGTATTTACTGTCTTATCAATAACATGTAACGTTTATTTCGAAATAAATTTCTTACAATATTTTTTTAAATATGAAGCTGGCGTAAAAAATACCTGTAAGTAATCATTTTGATTTAACTAGATTGAATGTATATGTACACAAAAGTAAGCACATGACTATAAATAATTATATGTAGTTATGTGAGTATTTGTATATCCAGATGTTTATACCAGTTAAAGTTATATAGCTATATTGGGTTTAATATTATATAAACTATTACGATATAGATGATTTATTTATTATTTAAAAAAATTAAGTTCAGAATTAAAAACCAATTTCCCGACTTCTTTCTCAGTGCAACTATTATAAGTTGTTCGGCGGCAATGTAAAGTTTTTCGTAAAGTTTTCGTAATTAGTTTGAACTTTTCCTAATTTTTCAATATGTATGAAGTGCCTAGATATTATTAAAAATTTCATCATATGAGAACCCATAATTTTTAAATTAAATTAATTTCTAATTAATATGGGTATCGAAAAATTACTTATAATTATTAAGAAAAATCAAATTGTTATACTTTCGAATAATGAGTAGATTTACTTTACACTTAAAATAGTTTAATGTTAACAACTCTTTTTGAAAAAATCCTAATTTGAAAATTGACATTTATTCACTTTTGTTTTAGTTCCTTACTCACTTTAAATAAAATGTTCTTTGAATTTGAATTGATTAAATGAGAATTGTTAGAATTATTGCTAAAACATTTGAATGAATTTATAATAAATAAACTAATACACATAACTAACATCGACATGTAAGTATAAGCGAATTTTATATCATACTCTCATGCCATGCATAAGAAGCAGTTTTGAATGCATTATGAAATCACACATACTTATACACATTTCTCATTTTATTATCACTACCGAGTAAGAATTTGTTATCATATTGCCTGGAAAAGGCAATGTTTAACATTTTAACTACCTAAAACATAGTAGTAGCACTATGTATTGCAATAACTGGTGCATACTACTCAATTGGGATAATTTTAACTGTACGCAATAACACTCTAATGCACAAGATTGCCAAGAGGTATGGATTTAGTTTCATTACAAACAAATAAATGATTCTAATAGGCGTTTTAAATTGTTTAAAGTTATGACTAAGTATAACAATTTTTTTCTATAAGTATGAGTGCATAAGTATTGCCAATTAAAATAACGTGAAATATAACCACTAATACTCGTATAATCTTAAATAAAAATGATTTTATGTGTTCTGAAACGAGTTACACATTTTTAGCCTTAAGCCAAAAATTGTACTTAAAATCATTGAAAACTTAATTAAATGCTTTGAAAACAAGAAATTTCTCGCACACAAAATTAACCTGTGAATCATCTATTCGAACATTGTAAATAAAGTAACCTAATTCTTTACTTTCAGTAAGATAAATTATATGTAGTTGAGTACTGTTAGGTAAATTATGTAGTTGTGTACGGTTTTTTGACAAAATCTTCTTAAACTTTAACCATTAGACTGCATTCAAATTTATGCATAAGTTCGAATGGTATGTATATGTAATACAAATTTAAATTATTATACCGTAAAACCTACCGAAGCCGAGCACCTGTAGAGGTGCTCGGAAATAATATTTATTAATTAATCGGAAAATTATCAAATTTATTTATCTTTTCAGTTGTTCTTTTCTCTTTCGCCTATTTTTATTGTTCAGCATTTTATCTATAATGGTCTAATTTAAAAATAGTGCAACAGTTTTTGAAAATAGTAGACAGACATGTAATGTCTATATACAATGCTAAATATTCTTAATTTCTAAAATGCTATAGGGCTATGAAAAAACATTTTTTATTATTTTAAATTGATTATATTGAACCTGGACTATCGAATTATTAAGAAATATTTTGAATATTAGAAAAATATTTTTTAGTAACTTAAACGTTCATTGACTTGAGTGTTAATTACTGTATGATCTCATCTAAATATTATTCTCTTATATCTTATATTTCTATTGTATCTATATGGTACATGTTTAACTGTGTTACACTATTTGCAGTATAAATGAAGGCATGTGTTTTTATGTAGGTATTCTATGTACTATGTGTAAAACGATTCATATGAATTCTAATACTTCTTTAACATTACGAGTATAATTAATAAGTTACTAATTAGTTTGCTGTTTAGCGAGGGGAATAAGTTCTTAAATTAGAAATTCATTTTAAATTAGGTAGAAAAATTTTATTCTTAAATCAAAGAAAGCATGTATGTTTTTTTTTTTTTGTATAATGTTGTAGATTTTTTTTGATTATATTTTACTGTTATATTTTATAAAATAAATTTGGGTTATCCAAAATTCAATTATAATTAAAAAAATTCAGTTTTGTTAATTAATTTTATTTAAAATTATATTCTAGTTTTAGTCTGTTCAGAAAAAACAAATACATAAATGTTCTATGTATATATGTATGCATAATATAACAGTTATTTATTAAATCGAGTCTGTATGCAATATTTGTATGTGCTTGTTATTATCAAACTGTTAAATTTACTTTTCAGGAAGGCGCGTCCTTATAATTTAAATACTTAAAGAAATTTTTAAATATTCTAATTTGACAGTTGAATAAGATTTGTTAACACTTTCTACACGTTAATTGTAAGTGCTATGAGCTAATTTTTTTGTAAGTAACTGTGTTGGTATATGTCATTATAAAATGAACGTCGAACACTGTTTGTGTGTGTGATATTAGTGAATTTTTGAAGGACTTTTTTTTTAAATATCTTAAAATAACCGCGAAATAAGTATAACAAACAAGAGGTATTGCTTATTGCTTTGAAAAGAGCTGAATCCAGCCTAAATATTATCAATTTTGGCTTTGTAGAGTGTAACAAATCTTTGTTGTATTTTGAATAAATATCGATTCGATTTTATATTCACAGACTTTCCCCACCATTTCTGCAGATTAAATTGCCCAAAAATTTCTTTATACTTCATGAATATATATATATACTTATATGTAAAAATATATTGTTTGAAAAAATCATTTACGTTCCCCAAAGACGTGAAACAGATTTTGTGTGCTTTGTTTTTTTTTTCTTACATTTTTCATTATTCTTATTGAGGGTGGTGCGGCGCATTTTTAAAGTGCATGTAACTTTTATTATTATTATTAAAAAAGTTGTACATAAAAACTTATATATTATATTCATATGCATAAGTTGTATCTTATAATTATTTGCAAATGTGTATGTACATATGTATGTATATGCATGATATGGTAAAATGGGTTATTTAAATGTTATTATTGTTGAATTTTCTTTTCTTTTTTCTGTGTTATTTTTATGCATATTTAATTTGTTTTATTAAGGTTATTGTTCCCATGCAATAAAAACAAAAAAAAAAATAAAAACAAGAAGAAAGAAATAGAATTAAAATAACGGTATTGTCATACATAAAAATAATAATATACATATATGTATGGCTATGTATATATGTGCATATATAATTTTGTAGAAATGAGTAAATGTCATGGGATTTATTAAAAATTTACTTTTCATTTACTTATATTTCATTATTTACTTTTTTTGTTTTTCTATAATTACATAGGAATATTATGGTGTAATATTGAAAAATAATTATTATTATAAAATAATAAGCATCA